CTTCAAATTTATATCTTATTTAAATATAAAAACACAATTTTTTTTCTCAAAACTATATATATATATATATTATATTAAATGAAACATTAAAAAATCAGAATGTATCTAATTGTTTTATGCAAATACGTTTATGTTTTACTCTTAAACCAAAATTGAGACTTCAAAATTAAATTTCTTCTAAAGGGGTGTTTGTGATTGTTTATTTGAAACAACTTATAATTTTTTACAGAAGTCTTTATTAACTTACTATAAGTTAGAAAATTTTAACATCTTCAAAAACTTTTTATTATCAATTTAGCATCGATATAAATTATTTATCCAACACAAAAAAAAATGTTTATTATCAATATCATATCAAAATAAATCAATAAATTATTTTTATTGAAAATCCCAAACACCCCTAATTATTTAAGTGACATCATGTTTCGAACAAAAGAATGCGAGCATATTTTTGTTAGATGGTTACTTTGAGCATCGAAACTCAAAAAATTTATTGGAAAATTATAAATTCCGTGTTCACAAAACAAGCACCTGCAAAGACTTGTAGAATCCCTGCTTGCCTTGGGCTATTTCTTCTCAGGATCATCACATCACGTCGTACCTGCAAACAAATCCATGGATGCCAAGATCGGGAAGTTCTTTGAGTCGGTAGGCACGTTTTTCACCGGCGGCGATTCTATTCCTTGGTGCGACTCGGACATTGTTGTTGTAAGTAGTATCTGGTTCATTCCTATTAATTCAAAGTTCTTTTAAGTTTGTGATTCATGATCTGGAAAACCGAGTTTTCTTAAGACTTGAACTTCGAACTTATCATTAAATTCTTGTATGTCGATGATTTTAGCACAATAAGAAGTGTTCTCTAGCGGTTTGCTTTCTTGTTCTTTGCTGTTATGTAGCATAATTTTGTTTTTGGTATTATTTTGAGTTGTTCTCTTTTTGTTTCTTTCAAAACTGTGGGAATGGAACGAAGATGTTGAAATACATGGTTCTAGGTTTAGGTCGTAGTCGAATTAGAATTGTGTCTTCTACCTTTCGATCTTTGGAATTCTTCATCAAGTGAAGTATGTAAGATTTTAAATTCGTTGTCTAAATGTTAGAATTTGAGGTATTGATCAGAAATGTATTTGATGAAGTCGGTCTCCGTGCGGAATGGTTAAGTGAGATGCTAGATGAGTTCTATGTTAATTTATATGCTATGAAGCTTGCTATAATTGCTTACTGTTTTCTGTATGATAGATATCTGTATGATAGTTATCAGGAGGACTTTTACAAGTGATCAATTAACACAAAAGCTTGAAGACCAAAATGAATAGATAAATTTTTGAGCTTTAGACATTATGATGAGTCATACTTACCGGATGGTAGGATTTGCATAGGGTTACTGAATTCCTAAAGTAAAAATAAACATTCTGCTTGAGTGATACCTTCAATAGAAACAAGTGGCTTTTCAATTGCTTAAACCCCAATAATTTAAATTTAGGGCGAGAAAGCAGTTGTTTAAAARTTTGAAGGATAAATACTTGATAATTGATGAAAACATACATAAAAGGAAAGACCTCCATCCATACAGGAGGTCAACTTTTGATTTTGGAAACTCAAGTTAGGTTTTTAACTTCAAAATTGACCCCACAAACTACTCTAAACTTAAAGACCTTCATATAGAGTTTTGCATCAAGCTTTATGCCTTTGGCAAAGCAATGATCAGGATTTTGAAACCACAAATTTATAAAGTAACCTATTTAATATTTATAAAGTGAAAATGCATATCTTATAGAATGGAACAATAATATGTTGGTTCCAATTAAGATTCAAAGCTTTCTCTATTGGATTCAAAAAGCTTTCTCTAAATCAAAATAACCGCTAGAAGAGAAGTACTTTGAAGCCTAATATAACCAGGATTGCTGAATCAAATATGATTTATGTATTAACAGTTCTCTTGAAGTTGGAGGATAGATATCATTCATTCTCAATTTGACAAACGCAAAGTCAAGAATTTCATCAGATAAAACTCGGGGAAACTTAAAACAGCAAACAACGTTTCCAGCAACAGTTGGCCATAATACAGTCTGGATGACTCCTCTTAACCAGATAACTCCTGACAGAGTAGCTCCTTCTTACCGACTCGCTTATTCTCCCTTCAAAAGAATTCTCCATGCAAAATTAGATGATTTAAAAGGTTGTTCATATAAAACCCTTGAGAATGCCATTGTGAAAGAAGATTTTGACCGACTGGGATGGCCGTAATGCATGGGCTTGGAAGAGCCATAACACATGGTGGCGGCACAGGTGACAGGTGGGGATATTATGTGCTTTGTTTGGAATGATGGTCACAAGTAATGATCCCCTTCAATTCTTGTTCTCTCTCCTGTGCGGTTCTAGATAAAGAAATGAGAAATAGACTGGATGAATACATAATTACTCACAGGGACCCTGCCCACATCAATGACAACATAACCAGAGAGTGTAATCACTCTATCCAGCCACCGACACTGTAGGTTTCCACATAATGTCGTGGCAACAAATAGGCTGAAGTGTTGGATGAAGAACAGTTGGCTGAAGAGAGTAGCAATTAACACAAATGTACTGAACTGAAATAAACTGATGGATAGCTGAACTACATTGTATTAAATCTTGTCCCATTACTGTTCCTTGAGCTTCTAAAATTTGTGCAACTATCCTTGAACTAGGATTTCGGAATTGTCCTTGGAATACATTATCTCTGCAATCTGGTCTAGAGTTTCACATTTTTGCGTGAGCCTGTGGACTTCCTGAAAATTGCAGAACGATTCATAGACCTTCATAATTCACAAAACTGATCTTGTGCTTTATAGAAGCTGCCGGAGGTCTCTGTAGTGGAGTCTGGGGTCTGCAGGTGGTGGGGATCCAGAACCAAGGAGATCTACTGGGATCAATGAGATGAAATGGAAATCTGACGCTAGCTATAATGGCAGACAACATCCCTATGCTGCTAACTGTGGAAGCACCTTCCAGGGTTATACTCTAGAGCTCTGATAACATGTAACAATTAGGATCCAAAAGCTTAATAAGGAGCCAGAACACAAAGAGTCTTGGAGCCAAAATACACTGATGACAAACAAAAAATATTCTATAAGCCTAATATAACAAGGACTCTTAACCCCTGATAAAATTCTCTCCCGAAAGGAAATTTAGGTCAACTTCCTTTCTCTTGCAAGTATGCTGGGATGCAGGAGTTATTGATATTGTCTAAATATCATATCTCTATTAATTAAGAGAGGATAACATTACGAGAACCTATTGCACAAGTGTTTGTTGCAGGCTGTATTGTATTTATCATAGTCAAATCTTCTTCAATCATAAAATGCTTGCAGCTATACTGGACTTGGCACCCTTTTGTGATTCTAGCCCTTCTTCATGTGAAGCATTGTCTTTTATTCCTTCACCAGTCAATCAAGACTAGAGTGTCTTGCACTTGTATATTGTTTTCAAGATATTGTTAACAAAATTTTCAAATCTCGTGTTAGTTAAATAACGAGTAACCACTGCTATGTTCTGGTTAAACTTCTCATCAAATCTAGAACTCTAAAGCTTGGTTTTAAAAAGCGCGATGCGGTCCGATGCGTTAAGGGTCCCGGAAGCCGATGCGTGATGCGTGATGCTGATGCGCTCGCATCACGCACGTGATGCGCCCGGTATTCAAAAAATATTTATAAATTAATTCTACATATCAATTTCTACCTTAAAAATACGTACCTATCAAAATACTTCATTTATAACATAAAGTAGTTAAAAAAGTGGCATTAAAATCTTAAAAAGTTCGTGAATCAGAATAACAGAAGTACATAACACGCAAACTACTACCATGAAGAACACAATTACACAAGTACATGTCTAATAGTCCTAATCCCTAAACTAAATGACCAACCAAGTGACCAACCAAGTGAGCAACTAATACTCCCCAAGATCAGCATCATCAAACCCCAACACGGGTTCTCTAACCCCAGGTTCTATTTTACATAACTAAGAAGCCCAACTAAAAAAAGCCCAACTAAAAAGCCCAAGTAAACACTAAAAAAGGGAGCCCAAAATGCAACATACATGATGAGCTGATGCCTAAGTGATGCACGCATCGTGTGATGTGTAGGTGATGCGTTCGCATCATGGAATCGCATCGCATCAGCCTCTTTGATGCGTTCTGTCCAGCGCATCAGAACGCATAATGCGTGCATTTTTAAACCAAGCTCTAAAGCAGTTAAGTTTATAACCAGTCTTGTGATGATGTGAAAGGCCATGCATAAGTGATGTGACCGACCAATCCAGCATTGAGTTCCTATTGATACGACTATACGAGTCCGATAAGAGGTGGAAAAATGTGTTATAGACTCGTCTATTACAGATCAAATAAGCAACACGTCATATGGGTAACAGTTCACAAGATTAGAGTTTGATTTAATTAAGGATGTGCATACATTAGCCTGGAAAATTACAGTTATGCAAAAATGAAGTGGATTGATAAGTGAATTTGCGTCCCTACGTCATTAGATGGTGTGTTGATGCAAATACTAGTTCTATAAAGATCACATGGAAACCTTTTCTTTTCACTTGTACCCTCAGGATCTCTTGATTTATCTATGTTGTATTGGTAATTTGGTACTACCAAATGCTTGTTTGGGTGCTTAATCTCTGTAAATAGTGAGTATTTCAATTGAATGATAATCAGTACAATCTCCTGAAGTTCGATGCTTTTACTTTTACCTTCACCTCAAGTTGTCTGGTTCAGTAGTTTTGCTGATACAGTAGCAAACACAGGTAATAGCATCAGCAAAAGAACGTTATTATGTGTTTCCAGCCCATGCTGAAGTCCAGATGTCCTTGTACAATTGAAAGGGCATAAAGCTTATGCCATAGCATCACATTCACTATGCTCCTTCAAAAATCCCCCTCGTGTTCTTGTGACATTATTCAATTTCCAATTCTGTTACAGGGTTGTGAGCGCGAGGTTGCTGAAGCTGAGAAAGGCTCTACTGATGAACTCAAAAGTGAGTGCCTTCTGCGCTTATCATGGGCTCTTGTTCACTCAAAGCGATCTGAAGATGTACAACGTGGGATAGCTATGCTGGAAGGTGAACATATGAATATGAATATGTTCAATTGTCAGTTCTGAGTATGAAGTTGGATGGTCCATACTGTCTGAATACGTATATATTTCAGTTTTAGTGAAATTATGACTGTTCAAAAACACAGTTCTTTTGTGCTTAGCTGAAGAACATCTTTTCTTATTCTATCATTTATTTCTTAATACTACCTCTGACCATATCCCTCCGATGATTAGAGTGATGAACTAGTTTTTGAGATGTTTGGATTGTTAAATGTAAAATCAAAAACTAAAATGGTTCAAAGTCATCACTTTATATTTCCTTCAACTTCAAATGCACCTGGCTTATTAGAGCACTTTTTACTTCTACTTGGTTGTGGCAGCTTCATTGCCTAGCACAAGTAGCCCCTTGCAAATGAGAGAAAAGATGTATCTACTTGCCGTTGGGTATTATAGAAGTGCGGACTACTCAAGGAGCAGGCACCTAGTTGATCGCTGCTTGGAGGTATGGTCTTTTGTTTTCTAAACTCCTCATGGAACTTCTATCAATTATTGTTTTTGCTCATTTGAGAAACTAAGCACTCATTTCTTCCTGAAGGTCACGGATTTGAGTTAAAATAGCAGCCTATTTGCAAAAAGTACATGGGAAAATTTTGCTTAGACCTTTTCCAGGGTTTATTTAGGAGAACCTTTTTACAGTTTTTTTAAATGCATGAACTTCAACATTTTCTCTAGGCATTTTTGTTTTAGGAAGAGACGTTCTTAAATCTATCAAGAAGGTCGGGCATTTAAAAAATTCTGTTAGAAGGTTATTCTCCTAACTAATCCCCTTTCCGACCCTATTGCAAAGCCAATTCTACGAATATAAAATAAAGCCTAATTCTCTTCTAAAACATCAAATACACCTCCCTCTTTACATTTTATGCATTTTAAACTTCCATTGTACTGTCCTCACAATATTATTTATATATGGCTTCTATATCTTTATTAATTGATGTAATCTATTAAATATTAATAAAAGATAATATAGAAACGGTATAAGATAAAAATTGGAAACTACATAAACTTTTTTCTTTGGTGTTGTAAAGTAAAGTTTGTGTAGTTTCCAATTTTTTCTATGTCTTTGACAAAACTTTCTAATGATATATTTTGTCATAAAAATTATTTATCTTATTATAATTTAATAAATTACATTAAATAATCAAGATATATAAAATATATTAACAACTCATTAGGGCTAAATTGGTCATTTTATCTGTTCTGTCCCGTCCAGTTCTGTTTTACCAAATGCTAAACAGTTGTTCAGTCCTGTTTAGTCTGGATACCAAATGCACCCTTTAGGGTGTGTTTGGTACACAAATGAGACTGGACCGAATAAACTGGGCTAGACTGGATTGGACAGATGAAAGTGAGGTAGGCGGGTGAAAGAGTTCTGGTAGGTTTTTTATTTTACATGTGTAGTTTAGTAATTTACCAATCTTGTTCCATCTCATTAGTTTTTGCTCCACTTATTTTTGGTGGGATAAAGAAGTGCATTTTGTCCATTCAGTCTCGTTCTGTCCAAGTCTAATGTTGCGCCAAACATGGGAGAATAAGTTTTTGTTCCGTCGTGTTCCTTATATGATCCTCTATAAAGGCGGCTTTGGGTCTGTTTGCATTTGTTTTCTCATATTAATCGATGTACTGAATGCATCAATTCTCCTATGCACTAAAAAATCGAATTATACAGATTGCACCGGAATGGAGGCAGGCAATAACTCTCAAGAAATCAATTGAAGACCGTATAAAGAAAGGCAAGTCAAAACCTTTGTAACTCGTGCATTTCTTTCACAAGCCGAGGGTCTACGCTTTTTCAGGAAACCCCACCTCCGTGCGGGATATATTTGGTCGGGAAAATGGAGTTAATGGTTTGTTGTATTGTGTATGCAGATGGAGTAATTGGCATAGGCATCGCGGCCACAGCTGTTGGTCTTGTGGCTGGTGGACTTGCAGCGGCTCTGTCTCGCAAGAAGTGACCGATATACATCCATACATGTAATATCATACTGTGCATAACAAAACTAATATTTCCCAAACAAACATGTTTATGTTGCTTGTAAACTTTGAAAACTGTTGTCTACAAGGTTTGGTTTTCTTTTTTGCTTTCTAAAAGCTGCCACGTGGGGGCTCTCCATTGGTTAACGAACCGGTTAAAATGGAGTGGGTGTTGAGAACCAGTTGCACCTTGGTTACACATTTTTTGGTTAAGTATATATTATGAAACAAAGTGATGAAGTCCTTAACCTCGGTGTAATAGGATGTAGCGGGTTAAAGAAAGGAAGATCTTGAATGGTCTACAATTCGAGCAGGTTCCTGATCTGCTCGAATTGTCTCGAGCAGGTTCCTATTATTATTGTATGTAACAATTAGAAGGATGTACCGGGTTAAAGAAAGGAACCTGACCGATAAAGTAGACAAATATGGAAGAGATCCTTAACCCTACTTTATTAAAAATCAGATTTGATAAATTCACTGATCATAATTATTATTGTATGTGTTTTTTGGTCAATACAAGAACAAGATGTTTGTTTAAAACTATCGTTTACATAATTACTCATTAAATACTTCACAATTTTTAAAACTAAAAAATAGATTAAAAATAAGTAGAAGATAATCTATTATATATATTATTATAACAACCAAAAGCAAGTTTTTTTTTATCACATTTACTTTTTTTAATTTACTTTTTATCTACGATTAACACATTAATCGTTAAGCTATTCAACTTTTTGTTTTTTCTAACTTTATTTTCAGTATTTTATAAATGAAATTTGAATCTATAAATATGTAAATCTATAAATATTTTTATTTATATAAATACATGTATATTTTTATTTTTATGACATAAATAAACCATGTGTGATAACCGGATTCTGGTTATACATCTGAGGTAACTATTATGTGATTATGTTGTTACGTGAATATGTGATTAATTGTTAAAATTAATCATGTGTGTATATACATACAAGAGAATGATACGTAAATATGTGCATATTTGTATATTCATGCATGGGTTGATATATATATATATATATATATATATATATATATATATATCTAATAAACAAGTAACTTGGGAGCCATGTTTCATCTTTTGATGAGACGGTTACAAGGATTTCCCGCCTAAACATGTATGCAGACATAATTTACATTAGTGGTTCAAAGAGCCTATTTGGTTGACATCCATCCATGTAAACATAACTGATTTCGTACGAAAAGTTTGGATTTCCATTCCCAAGACTTATAAGTCTGATCTCTATAGACTTTTTCAAACAAAAAAGTCTGGGAAATTCCGAGTTGCAAGTCTGAATTTAACTATGAAGTGTCTTTCAGACTTGTAGGAATTCAAATGAAGTAAAACCCTAATCATGTCTTCTTCATCTTCGATCTGTCGACCTTAACCAAGATAGGAACTGGATCGGGGATGGAGGCTGTTACCTTCACTCCTCACAGTACCATAGAAGCGTGACCAGAGATGGTGGTCTGAGTGAAATCAACCGCCACTAGATTCAACATGATTAGAGATGAGGGGCTGGATATGGTTCTCTGTACAAACCCAAATTCGAGACTGAGCTTGTTGACTTGAGGAGGATATCTCGATACAACCCACCTGTTTCCCTCTTTTTCTCCGATGAACATCACCGGACCTGTACTTCCTCCATCTGCTCAACGACTTTTTGCCTAAAAAAACCTAAAACTCCGAAATAAACCTCCTCCACTTCATCCCCAAACATCAATGCTTCATTTTCTTGTGTAAGATCACGATTCATAATCCAAAATAAAGCATCGATGCACGAGTCAAGTTCTGGATCAATGGCCACACTTCGTAAGCTATTTGTATTCGTTTTTGATTTAGGCTTACAATTTACATCATTTTTGTGTAACAAATTTTTTGAATCGATGTGTATGTTCTTGAGTTTGATTTGAACTCCTCTTCAGAGTTGAAGTTCAGAGTTACGTTTCTGAATTATAAGAAGTCAGAATTCTTGTGATTCAGAATTATGCTTATAGATACTTTCTAGACTTAGAAGACAACTCTGAATTTTTCTTATTCAAAGTTAAGTCCAGAGTTATTTTTCAGCCAATAGAACTCTGAATTCTTGTGCTTCAGAGTTAATGTTCAAAGTTTTCTTTTAGACCTGAGAAAAAGTTTCAACCCATTTTGCTCATTTAAAATACCCCGTGTAATACACGGGTTCGAACCTAGTATATATATATATATATATATATATATATATATAGGGGCCTAATCAAATGAGAACTAAATAGTTTGTGGTAACCGTGAGGTCCAATATAAACCAATCATTTAAGATAATTATTAGTATATTTTAAATAATCATAAAGGGTAATTTGGTAAAAAAAAATTGACAACTCATTTGGTAACCAGTCATAAATTCTCTCTTTCTCTCTTTACCAATCCCTCTATCGTTTCGCTGCAAAATTTGTAATTTACTCTTTATTAGGACTAGGACAAAGGGAGTACTAAAGAAAATGTCGAACGAAGTAGGGTTTTGATCTCCTGGTTTGTGCCTTTTCCTTGGAAACGATTGCCAGAGATTCGTCTGAACTTCCTTTGAGGTTGGATATGGTGATAGGTTGTGGCAGAGCATCCAAAAAGCAGATCAAGATACCGAAAACAAGGGACTCCCTTCATCTGCATATGCAGTCCTTTCCTACGACAACCTTTTGATTGAAATCTTACTTCGATTACCGGCGATCTCATTTCATCTGTTCAAATTTGTCTCCAAACCCTGGTTATCTCTCATCATATCCTAATTCCACTTTTCGCCGGAGCCAAATCACTAACATCGATCCCCCATCTGGTCTCTTTCTCCAGCGACCTAAATATTCATTTGGATATGATTTCGTGCCATTCGATGTTAGAATTCCGGCCAACAGACCTCTAGTCAAGACTACTTTAGGTATCACAGTGGTATTGAAATCAATGGTATCACAATGCATCTTATATGTGCTTGGGTATCACATTGAGTTCTTCTGTGTGGTTGATCAAAGATGTAACACAGTGGTATCACAATGCATCTTATATGTGCTTGGGTATCACACTGTGTCTTTTGTTTAACAGAGCCAATAGTTTTAGGTATCACAGTGGTGTCACCGGAGGACGGGGGACGGAGAGAGAAGAGAGGAAAGTTTTAAAATACCTAAAATATCCTTGCATTAAAATTTTAATTCAAAATTTCCAAAAATTATAAATTTTCTAGTTTATCTATTGATTTGTGGTTGAGATTGAATCTCACTGTTATCACAAACTACTTAGTTCTCCCTTGAATGGGCCCCTATATATACATATAATAAATAAGTAACTTAGGCACATGTTATCTTCTAGTAAGTCTGTTATCTTGTTTTTCCGGCCTAAACACGTATCTAGACACAATTTATATTAGTGGTTTAATTAGACTCATTTGAATGTATCTAGACACAATTTACATTAACAGTTCAATTATACTCATTTGATTGACATGTGTCCTCTTATTCAATTTATTTTTGGGTTAATTAATTCGTGTGATAATTGATTCCGAAAAAAATGGTGTTTACTTTTCATTTCTGAATTCAATTTTATTCTAGGGTTAACTTCATTTTCTTCTAAATTCAATTTACTGAAAAGTTCTACTTAGAGTTATTTCAAAAGAACAAGTCTGAAGTCATTCTTCAGAGTTAGCTCACCCGAACACTGAAGTTTGCTTTTTCAGACATAGCTCGCCCGAACTCTAGAATCTGAACTCTGAAGTCTTCTTTTTTCAGACTTAGAAGTCTGAACCCTGAAGTATTTTTTTTAAAACTTAGAAAAGAAGTCTGAACTCTGAAGTCTTCTACAATTCTGAAGAGTACAAGTCTGAAGAGTCATTTTTCAGAGTTAGCTCACCCGAATTCTGAAATCTTCTTTTTTGATTTAGCTCACCCGAACTCTGAAGTCTAATCTCAGAAGTCTTTTTTTCAGACTTAAAAGTCTGAACTCTAATTTAATGGGATTGATTTTATACTTTTGCGTTATTTCCAGAGACAAGTCTGAAGAGTCATTCTTCAGAGTTAGCTCACTCGAACTCTGTAGTCTTCTTTTCTAGACGGAGCACCATGCAGAGCCTCTACATCTTGCTTCTCTATACATAGCTCTAAAGTCTGAAGAGTTTTACTTAAGAGTAATGTCAAGAGTACAAGTCTTGTAATAAACTTATCTAGACTTTGAAAATAAGTCTTTTAAGACTTACACTTAGTCTTGTAAGCCAGAGTCCGTATGGGTGGTCTAGCTTCTGGATGGCTTTGCTTCTAGTTGTTTATTAGAACCTTGGAAAAATATTTCAATCCATCATAAAGGAACCAAAGGGGATCTGGTTGATTTTCATGTTTAACCAGATGGTCTCTCGTTGTAAATGGAACTCAAATTCTTTTAGTATTTAACATTTTTTTGACCCAGGGGGCTCTAGATAGACGAACTAGAGGATCTGGTCGACCAGAGGGCCTTTGGTTGGCCTTGCTTTTGGTTGGTGAGTCCACAGGGGCTCTGGTCCTTAAGGACCATAGGAGCTTTGGTTGGTCTTGCTCTGTATGATGCAAACTTTACCATAAGGTATTTTTTTAAAGATATTGGGTATTTGAATAATTCTGAACTCAAGGTCTTCAGACTTCGTCTTCAGATTTAACACAACGCTCTTCTAAGTTTAAATTCAATTTATTGATATAGTTTCATTTCTAAATTCAATTTTATTCTAAGGTTAACTTTATTTTAACTAATTATTGATATAATTTCATTTATGAATTAAAGTCTGAAAAGTCATTCTTCAGAGTTATTCTTAAGAGTCATACTTCAGAGTTATTTCAATAATACAAGTCTGAAATCATTTTTCAAAGTTTTACTTTAGAATTATTTCAAGAGTGCAAGTGTGAAGTCATTCTTCAGAGTTATATTTCAGAGTTATTTCAAGAGTACAAGTCTGAAGAGTCATTCTAAAGAGTTAGCTCACCCGAGCTTTGAAGTCTGCTTTTTCAGACATAGCTCACCCGAACTCTGGAGTCTGAACTCTATAGTCATTTTTTTAGACTTAGAAAAAGAAGTCTGAAGTCTTCTTCTTCAGACTTAGAATTGTGAACTCTGAAGTCTTCTACAATTCTGAAGAGTACAAGTCTGAAGAGTCATTCTAAAGAGTTAGCTCACCAAACTTTGAAGTATGGTTTTTCACACTTAGCTCACCCGAACTCTAGAGTCTGAAGTCTGAAGTCTTCTTTTTCAGACTTAGAAGTCTGAACTCTGAGGTCGTTTTTTTAGACTTAGAAAAAGAAGTCTGAAGTCTTCTTTTTCAGACTTAGAAGTCTGAACTCTGAAGTGTTCTACAAGTCTGAAGAGTCTTCAGAGTTAGCTCATCCAAATTCTGAAGTCTTCTTTTTCAGACTTAGCTCACCTGAACTCTGAAGTCTTTTTTTTTTTTTTTTTCCAAACTTAGAAGTCTGAACTCTGATTTAGTGGGATTGATTTTATACTTCAGAGTTATTTCATGAGTACAAGTCTAAAGAGTCATTATTCAGAGTTATTTATAGAGTACAAGTATAAAGAGTCGTTCTTCAAAGTTAGCTCACTCGAACTCTGAATTCTTTTTTCCAGACAGAGCACCATACATAGCACCATGTAGATCCCTTACACATACAGAGCTCTGAGTCTGAAGAGTTTTACTTCAGAGTTATTTCAAGAATACAAGTCTGAAGTCATTATTTAGAGTTATATTTTAGAGTTATTTCAAGAGTACAAGTCTGAAGAGTCATTCTAAATTTACTTCTAAGTTTAAATTCAATTTACTTATATAGTTTCATTTCTAACTTTCATTTTACTCTAGGGTTAACTTCATTTTAACTAATTATTGATATAGGTTCACTAAATTCAAGTCTGAAAAGTCATTTTTAGAGCTATTTTTCAGAGTTATATACTTCAGAGTTATTTCAAGAGTACAAGTCTGAAGTATTATCGTACTTTTGATGGTGATTCATATTTGTAAGATAAGTTTCTGACATGATTTAATTTTTTCAAATTACACTGTATAATACACGGGATCAAACCTAGTATATATATATATATATATATATATGGGAGCGATCAAATGCAAACCACTCAATTTGTACAAACCGTGCAAACCGCATTCAACCAATCATAATTTTTCATTTTGTTCATTTTTTTGTAATTATGAGAGGTTGATTAATCATTTTTATTATGGAGGGTGTTAATCATAGATATTATCATCTTCATTATTTTAATTTTAGAGAAATACATGAAACAGTTTCATTAATGTTAGAGAAATACATGAAACAGTTAAAAAAAATATTATATGAAACAATTTCACAAGATTAAACAATTTCATGAAAAAATTTCATAAGATTAAACAATGAAATCGACAGATGGAGGTGGTTTGCACGGTTTACACAAATGAGGGCGGTTTTCATATGATCATTCATCTCTCTCTCTCTCTCTCTCTCTCTCTCTATATATATATATATATATATATATATAGGGGCTGGTTCAAATGTCAACCAAGTTTATTGTGTTTGTTAACCAATCTTGGCCATTGATCTTTGAAATTTGTGGCTAAGATCATTCATGACATAAAGTGTAATTAATTGCACACATAGACAAGGTAACATAAGTAAACTATATTTACAAAGGGTTTTTTGGGAAAAGGTTTTTGATGTTCAATAATGACAATGAGATGTTTTGTAACATTCCATTAATGATAATGAGATGTTTTGTAACTGCCCATTAATAGCAATGTAACTATCCGAGAATTAATCTCGTCATCGAATCAAAACCAACAACAAGATCCCCAACACTAGATTCTTCTACAATTTTTTTTGTTAATGGTTCATATGTGAACAAGTATTCGATATTTATGGGAATTGTTCATGTGTGAACATGAGTGTATATGGAAAAAAGTCATAAACGACACAAGTGTGCATATATATATGTTAATCTGTGTTTGTATTTGATACAAGGGTTCATATATGTCAATTTGTGTTCGTAACTGACTCAATGATTCATATATGTCGAGTTGTGTTCATATGGTTGTACGAATATTCATATACATATATATGTGAATTTGTATTCATATGGTCACACATGTTCATCATATTTCGTATGTTCATTTGTGTCAATATGTGTTCATATTCATACCAACTGTACATATATGTTAATCTGTATTCGTAATTGACACAAGGGTTCATGTATGTCAATTTTTGTTCGCAATTGACACAAGAGTTCATATATGTCAATTTTTGTTCGTAATTGACACAAGGGTTCATATATGTCAATTTCTGTTCGTAATTGACACAAGGGTTCATATATGTCGAGTTGTGTTCATATGGTTGTACAAATGTTTATATATGTGAATTTGTGTTCATATGTCACACAAGTTCATCATATTTTGTATGTTCATTTGTGTCAATATGTGTTCATATTTATTCCAACTGTACATATAGGTCAATCTGTTTTCGTAATTGTCACAAGTGTTCATATATGTCAATTTGTGTTCGTAATTGACATAATGATTCATATATGTAGAGTTGTGTTTATATGGTTGTTGTACGAGTATTCTCATATGTGAATTTGTGTTCATGTGGTCACACATGTTCATCATCTTTCGTATATGTCAATTTGAACGATACTAAAAACTTTACTACCGGGTTTCCTCCACCAATCACAAATTCATAAACATTAGAGATAGAAAATCAATATTAAAAGAAAACAAGATTAATATAAGTTAACACAAATTATGAGATTTTATGATTTTGTAACTCCCAATTAATGATATAGAGTTACATAAAAAATTTACATATGTACCCTTGTCATTAAATTCTAAGATAAATACATGAACCTAATACTAAGATGTATTATGATTGGTTGTAAATGATTAACAAAGTTAAAACAATAATTTGAGTGCACATTTGAAACAAATTTTTTCTCTTTCTATATATATATATATGTATATATCTATGAACCTAATATTAAGATGTATTATAATTAATTAATAAAGTTAATATAATAATTTAGATTAACATTTAAATACAACACTCTTTCTGTATATATATTTATTTATGTGAACATCAAATATTTACTTTAAGTTATATTTTATAATATAATGATTCGATTAAAATAAGATAGAATAACAATTCACAAAGAAACCGTAGAAATGAAAAAAGACAAACAAGTTTGGATGGATGCCACTCCCACTCCCACGTGACTTCATGCCATCAAATTTAAAGCTGACAAGTGGTGAACTGTAGTCACCTCCGTCACCCACGCCACCGTTATCTACCCCACCTCACTCCCATCTCTCTCTCTCTCTCTCTCTCTCTCTCTCTCTCTTTATATATATATACATACTCATTCGCAATTCCACAAGTAACCATGGCTCCACATATGGCAACCAAGACCATCGCAATGCTCCTCTTCACGCTGCTTCTCCTCTTCACTTCCTCTCGTTAGTATCGTATCATCATCATTATACATATTTAGTATCTTATCATCATCATTATAGTTTGAGGTTCAAATTAAAACAGTAATTAAATTAACGAATACAAAAACGGTTAAATCACGTACAAAATCATACAATTTAACGTCGAACACAAAGGGTGAGAGTGCGACGTGAGGTTGCATGTATTCTTTTATTAGGTCATTGTTGTCGTATGAATCAATGTCCCTCTCTCTCTCTCTCTATATATATATATATATATAGTTGTTAATTAGAAGTTATAATATTAATTAATTTGTGGTTTATCAATGGAATGCTGCAGAGTTGGGAGCAGAAGCACGAATGTGCCAGTCTCAGAGCCACAAGTACCATGGAGCTTGTTTCCACAACCATAACTGCGCTCTGGTCTGCCGGAACGAGGGTTTCTCCGGCGGCATCTGCAGAGGGTTCCGCCGTCGGTGTTTCTGCACCAGGCTTTGTTAATTAAATCATCATGCATGTCTTTAGGTTTATGTGCTTTTCCTTCTGTGTATAATTAGGTAGACTAATTAATGGTATGTATGTACTGTATCCGGTTACTTAATGTGTTTTATTCTCACTCCCTTTTTCTTTTTGCTTTTTGCTTCATAATTAAGCATTTGGTATGGCAACTTAGGGGCCGCGGTAACTACTAACCGGATAATTTTTCTTACCTGATGAACATGATAAGAGTTAAAAATCTTACCCGATAAAAACAATGATAAAGATGAAGAGTTTTACTTGGTAAGTGAGGGTAACGACTCTTACCCGGATAAACGCTTACCGGGTAAATTGTTGCATACGATACCATTTTAATATACTACTATCTTACCCGGTAAAATAAATTACAGTGTTGACTCTTAATGATAAACACTTACCGCTTAAATATTTTGGTAAACGGCCCTTAATGAGGTTAAAATAATGTGTTGCCAAAGACAAAATGTTAAAAGCATTCATAGAGTGAGACCACTAGCAAGCGGGGAGGAGATGATGTCTCCACCTTTTGGACATCCTGCTTGTATTGCCACCTCTATACATTTATTTTTTATATTCAAATGGTGTTAATTTTTGAACAAATTTTCTTATATTTTTTCTAATAATCAAACTGTACCACTGTTTGAAAAATTTCTGGATCTGTAACTCCTCCCTCGATTCTTAATCATGCCTCCTTCTTGGGTATCACCGACAATTATCACCATGGTTATGATCACCGCTGGATCACCAACAGCTATATCGATGGATCAACAATGGTGGTATTAATTGATGGCTTACTTAGGGATCTTATCATCAACATATTTTCGATGTATTTTTTACCGACGGATTATTGACAACAATCTGTACACCGACGGGATTCCATCGATGATTATTAATTATTTTTTTAAGTGATTTTAAAATATTGTATTTTTCTATAAGAAATACGAAACTTGCCAATGCAGACGAGACATGCTGCTTGGTGTGACTCTAAGTTTGCCCTTAACTTTCTTTCCGCTCCAACTCGGTCCTGTACGCCTACTCCTGCTGTTGGTCCTCCTCTAACTCCATCCGCTTTTCTTGCAACTCGAGTGCCTATAAATATTTAATGTCGACGAGCAAAAGTATAAACATACGTATGTGAAAGAACCAAATAATGCATGATCACCTGTGGCAGTGGAATAACTGGTCATGACATAATGGGGAACATGGGTGGTCCTAAACCTAAAGAGACCATCCTTCCACCGACATACATACGATACTCGACTCCACAAGTGTAGGCCATCGGGAGGTATTGTGTCGGGATCTGTGCGGGCATGCATGCGTCTCATCGTGCATTTCCTACAGTTTACCAAAACAAAATGGGTAAGATAATATTTCTACACATTTTGGTAAAATCGAACATATATGTTACCTGTTTTTAACAATTGTAATTTTCTAATTATTAATGGCACACAATGCCAACCAACCAGTTTAATTAGCCTTCTTGTGCTAAATGTAGATCGAAGGATTAGTAGGCGTATCCGACATAAGCTCAACGGGCTTCTTGTTGGAGTGATAGATCCTCTCAAACACCTCAAAGAAATGGGATAGCGGACCCGTACGTCTCTTTACATCAGACAATCGAATTTATTAGCAGACAAAAAGATCTTATGTTCTAAACAACATTAGACTTACTGATGCTATGCAACGTAATCAATCCCCCATCAGATTGGACGACACCCTCAAACAGGATCGTAGACTGTTAAAAACATAATAACACATAAATTATTGTTAGAAAAATTATCATATAAATCAGTATAAGAGAAAATTATTAAAAGATTGGCTCTCAGATCTAGGAAGAGTGGTGTCTCCTAAGGGGCATGAAATCTTGACCGCCAAATATCACCCCCATCCACCTCAAGGGTCGTCTAGCAGCCTAGAAGCATGTCTCCCTCATCTGGTCCAAACCTATTGTGCATCGTACGTGCCCACGCATCATAAACCTCTGCATTGAGTGCCGAGTCTAACTGTTTCTTATCCTTCATACACATGCACTAGTACAAAAAGTCACATAGGCTACGGTCATAAACCGTGGTCGTACGCCTTTCGCCATGCTTTTTTCTACTAAACCGTAGCCTGTTCTTCTGTGAATTTTGATAATCTTATGACCTCGTTTAAATTGTGTCACTATATGCCATTAAACAACATAGCCATAACATAAAAACCATGGCCATAAGGTCATCCATTTTTTTTTTGATAGTTTAGCACTTTTCATATAACTGTGTCCATAAACTATGTATCGCCACGTAAATTCATCTTAAGTTTGATCAATTCATGACATATAGTTATGCTTAATTTTTGGAATCATGGCTATTGGTTAAGCTTTTATTACACAAAATAAATAAACCCGTGACTAGAAGCTACTTTATGTGGCCATTGATTATTTTATAGGTATTTATATTTATTTTAACCATGATTATAAACTACTTATAGCTACGAAAATGTTTTATATTAACAGTGACCCAATTCATGACATATGTTTACGCAAAATTGTTACAACTGTTGCCATTGATTATTTTTTCTAACACGAAGTAACCAAGACCATGCTCATAAACCACTTATAGTCACATAAATTTTATATTAATCGTAGTCATTTGATTACATTTGGATACAATGAATTGTTGAAAATGTAGCTACTGGCAACCTTTTGGTTACACGAAATAATAAAACCGTGATCATAATCACTTTTATATTAACCATGGGTATTTCATAACATATGATGACATTGAATTATTAGAATCGTGGCTATTGGTTACTTCTTGGTCACACAAAATAACTAATACCATGATCCTAAACTACTTATAAACGTGAAATGTTTATATTAACCGTAGCTATTTGGTATGGTTACGCATAATTGTAAAACATGGTCATTAGTTACCTTTTGCTCACATGAAGTAACCAAAACCATGACAATGTACTAGAGATAGTTATACAAGTAAGTGTGGCCAATTCATGATATCTGGTTATGTTGAATATTTATAACCGTGGTTATTGCTTATCTTTTGGTCACATAAAACAACTAAAACCATGGTCGTAAACTATTTATTGATACACAATCTTATATTAAATGTGACCAATTCATGGCATATGTTAACGATCAATTTTTAAAACTGTAGCTGTTAGTTATCTTTGGTTATAGAAAAATAACTAAAACCGTGGCAAATGGCCGGTTCATGATATATGGTAGAGTTAAATTATAGAGTTGTGGTTGTTTGTTACTTTTTGATCACACACAATAACTAAAGCATGGCGATACACTACTTATAGTTATGCAGTGTATACTAATCGTGTCCAATTTATGACATGGTTACCATAAATTTTTAAATGTTACCATAAACTACTTGTTTGGAGACGGTAAAAAATGAAAAATAAAACAAGATTAAATATTTATATAGTCGGAAAGAGATAAGGTTAAAAGGAAAATGATTACAAATGGAAATGAAAGGACGCCTGCAAAAGTATAAGCCACAATGGCAGCCTGTCAAACCGTTGCCCCCATGATCTGACACAATGACATGGATGATGTCATATGAGAACGAAATAGGAAACATGTAGGAGAAGAAAAGATATCAAGATTGGAAGATAAGGTCGGTAGGGCATTCCCCCACTTAAAGAAAATTGGGAGAAAGATCTTAGAGAAAATCGTATGATGGGGTTCGAGGTGTGAAAGACATCCGGAAAAAATCCTTCGGGGAATGGTGTCTCCCGAACTTAGAAGGCCTATATATAAGGTGTAAGGTACCTTTTAGGTACCTAAAGATTCCTTTAACCGCAGGCAAATGAGATTCCTTGGGATTGACTTGATAACGAGCATACAGACACATAGCAAATATAATATCAGGGGCTAGCAGTAAGATAAAGAAGGGACTCGATTATTACCCAATAATTCGTGACATTGACCGATTTACCATTAGGGTCTGCACGAATTTTCAAAGGAGGAGCCATTGGAGTTTTCATGAGAGAAGAGTTTTCAAAATTGAATATTTTTTCTTCATCTCCCAATCTGTAGTGGGGAGCCGCCGAAGCTATGGGTTTCGTTCGACCTTCGGAACCTTCAGCACCACTTACTTCAGTGGCCCGACTTCTCCTCCCCTAGTGAAATTGGTGGTCAAGGAGAAGCGACATGTGCAAATCATTCCTTCTTCTCCCATTGGTACATATGCACCTGCTTCCGAGGCTAAGATTTTGAAACAGGCTTCGATATTTCACCATGCCTCATCCCCTTCCAAAAAGCAGAGGCACTCTAAATCCTATCCTAAGTCCTCCTCTAAGAGGCTTAAGAAACCTCCTAGGGCTAAAAATTCCCAGTCGACCATCGATTTTTAAAAAATGGTGGCCGTTGAACTTCTCCCTGTCAAGCCCAGGGAATTTGTTAAAGCCCCACCAACTATCCATCAAAGACAATATCTTTGGTCTACGAGGATGACTAGGACTCTTCCCCATTCCGAGGACCTTCTTCCCAACCGCACAACCTTGCACCCAAGATCGACGATCTTTATGCCATTGCACTATTCGATGAAGAGCTGGTTGGTCCAAGGTTGGTTCGGAAGATCCTAGTCACTTTCTGGATTTTCTGATTATGAATGTCTGATCTTTGGTGTCCCCACAATCGTCTCCCTTATACTTGCCCTCTTCATGATCGTTACCACTGTTCATGTCAACCCATCCAAAAGTAACTGCTGAAATAGAGATTATAGTTGTTTCCTCTCCATCCCCGAAAAAGTACCCTTCGCTCTCGTTGAAGAAAACACCACCTTACTCTCCAAAGAAGTCTCCTTCTTCTAACCCAAAAATATCTTACACCCTGTAGAAAACACCACCCTCCTCTTCCGAGAAATCCCTTACCCCATAACCGAAATAATCACCCCCTCACTCTACGAAAAACTCAACCTCCCTACTTCCCAATGAAAAACCCTCTTCCTCATCCTCCTCTTCCTATCATCAAGAAGTGGATGTTGCTCCTTCTACAGGCTTTGAACTACCTACCGCGGTTGTTGAAACAATTTTGATCTTGATTGGTAGTACTGACTACTGGGTGCTCAGAATTCTAACTTTCATCGGC